TAAAATTCTTTAGGTGTAGATGTTTGAGAGGGACAAATCAAATCAACTAATTACTACCTCTTACAAGAAGTATATGGCAGTTTATTCACAAAATGATCACAAGTTCCAAATCAAAAATTCTGAAACATGCATGCACAGTGTTGTCCTTAGAAACCTAATTCCCACTTCATAGCTTGTAAACAAAACCACTTCTTCTCCAACTCCCACATACAAGTACATGTATCTTTACTACCTTTCACACAGAGTTATTTAATCAAAATTATGTTTCAATATTCAGACTTCAGCTTAACATTCATGGTTTGTTTATCTACCTAATATCTGTGGCTATGAAGGATAGGGAAAAAGGTACAAATTTATACCCACCCATTACAGAAAGTGTGTGAGGGGTTATTTACTCAGAATCACTTATAGTTACCATATGAAAATTCTGCCAAATGAATTTTATGCATACCTCATAAACTTGTCCAACTTCATAGCCTGTAAAAACCACAGGGGATGGAGAGGCAATAAATACTTCAACAAGATCAGCAGATCTGAATTTTAAGGAGGAAAATCAAGCAATTATTATCATGTATTTCAACTAGGACAGAATGTAAAAATCAATCAGTTAAAATTCATATAATTAACAAGTTTAAACATAATCTGCACTTACTGAGGTCTTTCTTTGTCTATGTCTGGTTTCTTCTTCTTAGCTACTTTTGTGAGACCTCCTTTGAGTGGAGGCACAAAGCGTGGGTTCCTTTTGTACTCTGCTTTGCTCTGCAACCTTTGAAGATCTTCTCGCTCTACTTGTCGCTTATCTGGTTTCATGGATTCTCTCCAGACTGCAGACTTGGAGTGCCGGCTTTTAGCCTTTAGAAAAAAGAAAGTGCTATAAATACAAATATTATTAAAAACTCTGTAAATTTCAAATATAGATTGATTTGCGTAAAGAGTAACTGAAATTACTCAGTTATCAGCAATTATCAATGGAAACTTAATAAAGTTGAAATATTTCAGTTTGTTATTTCAGTCTTTTATTGAGAAAAAGTCAAATTTAAACTGATAAACCTAAAAAGGTGATACAAAACAAATTCTAATATTTATGTATTGTCTAGCATTACAGTGAGAAATAAAAATGGCAAAATCAAGGCTTAAAGAACCTGACAGTCAAGCCCAAAGCTTCAAAAAGTTTAACTTGTTTATTTAAGTTTCAACAGAAAATGCTTACACTAGGGGGTGGTGTTATATTCAAATCTCTCTTCTCTTTTGCCTGTGTGGGTGGTAGTGACGTCCACGGCCATGTTGATGTTGACAGAGCAGTATCATCCAGGTACTCTGTTAATGGAGGTGTTTTTCTGTATCGCTGCTGAGATGATGTTGTTGGCCTGGCATAGCTTGGTATTTCATCAGCTATGATAACAATATTTGTTTAACTAATTAGTGATGCAATGACTTTACACAGCAGTAATTAAAAGTATTGTTCAAGTGTGCTCCACACTTAAACAACTTTGTGATCTTATACTGAACAGGTGCACTGCCACACGGAATGTAACTGCTCTACATGTTTATAATAAAGAACAAAGTTGTTCACAATGATGTCAACTTAGTACTTCTGTCTTCTAATATAGCATAGTTACATAGGAATTAATTCAAATTTGTGAATATCATTCAGCTTATTTTTTAACCAAGGATAAAAGCTGACCTTGTGGAGCTTTAGATGGAGAAACCTCTTCTGAAGAGAAATCTTCTGGAACAATGAGATTGTAGCGTCGCAGTAACTGAGTGTCTAGACAGTTTCTGAGGTGTGATTTTGCTTAAAGAAAAAATTGACAGTCAAGTATTATTAGAATTAAGAAACAGTCTCTTACAAAATTTTCAGAAAAATTACTAATTGTCATGGAGATATATAATTAACAAGTAAATAAAAACCACAAACAGTCCATGTACTTTACCTGGTGGTAATCCTAATGATTGGTAATTTTCGTACCCTTCTGAAATTCTTTGCAGTTCCCTCTCATCAGCGGCCATAGCTGCAGCTTGAGCTTGCATGATGTGAGCTTCCAACATGTCTGCTTCTCTGTGCCTTCGATCTTGTTCCTCTTGTATCTTAATAAGAGCAATTGATCAGTATGTATACTATTACTATGGCTAAATGCTATTTTAAGTACCAATACATGTTACTTATTGCATCATTATCTACTGTTTCCTTGATCACATTGTTCTTAAAGGTTCAAGTTTAAAAAGAGTAAGGCCTATCACCCAAGTTCTATGTGTTCTGTCTTTTGTAAAGAATCACATAATACATTTCATAAACAAGAAATTAACCCATAATTTTGCCCTGTTTTTTAGTACCACTACAATGAATCTTGAAGGAACAAGGGACTATCTTTGGACTCCTTAATATCAGCAGATTTTGAGAATTTTTTACTTGCCTTCAAGAATAAACCCATGGATCTCATTGTTGATGCACGATCAATTTTGATTGATCTTAACACGAATTTTACACCGTCTTGAAGGGAAGTGTGTCAATGTTAATGGAAGCGCATTTAATTTCAAAGTTTATTGGCCATTAAGGATTCTATTATTGAAAGCTGATGGCTGCTATAACAATAAAAGTAGCTAGGTTTACAGAGCAACTGCAGAATACCCTGCCCAAAAAAAGTTTCTTCTTATTTATGATCACGAATAGAATATAAGGCAACAGGAAAATTTTGAGTAAATTTAAGTCACCCCTTTTCGTCACTAACAGTATATGATTAAGCTAACACAGCTGAGTTCGTGATTACACTGTTGATGTGATTACCAAGATCAGCTGGGATGTTCATTTTAATGTATCACTGATTCAATACCTTGAAAACTACTTCAAAACTTACACATCTCCTACCTGCCTTAGTTGCTCCACATATTTATCATGGTAACCAGCGTCTCCACTCATAGAAGTAGCGAGGTGTTTCACAGTTTCTTCTCCGATAACATCACGAGTAAAAACTTCCCTAAACACGCTTGCCAGTAAATGCGACACATCTTGAGAACGACTCGAAGATGGCCGTTGAAGATGCATCGGAGGCTCGACTTCTACCTCCTTTGCGTGTGCCATTTCGATGGTTTATTGCTTCCTTCGCGTTATGCTGCTAATAAACAGCGAGGACTGAAAATTTCCTCACTTCACTTTTCGACCGCCATTTTGAAGCAGTTGCTATGGATTCCTTATGTACCGACTATACGCGGGCTCAGAGACTCAGAAGAGGGCCAGAAACACAGTTTTAATTATTGGTTTTGTGACAGTAGTTAAGAACTTCCACAAAACCCCGAAGGCGACAGCAACGAGAGCATAGGAAAAAATAAGATCTAATGAGTGAACCAATCGTATTTAGAGAACATCACTCTCTTGATTCAATTAGGTACGGTGCAAGCGAGCATTCTCTTGTACATAATGAAGCATGCTATGGTGCGAGTTTGTAATTTTGGCATGATTACGGATGGAAGACATGGAAAAACGTAATGCAACGTGAGTCGACATCAAGAACTAAGCTTGACTTTTTTTTTCAAGCTTGACATTCGTAATCTGTGACAATCTTTTCCATCCCCAAGCCATTCTGGTTTATGTTTGCGAATTTGAAGGCTGTTTACTTGTGGAAATTATCATGAGAATGCCTTCCAGTGTATTTTAGCTAATTGGGGACACTGTAAATAAGGAAACAAATATCGTAAAAAAAAAAACCCCAACTTGTGGAAATTATCATGAGAATGCCTTCCGTTACTATTTAACAATTTTCAAACGCTCAGTTAGAAGACAGCTCAGGTTTTGTTGACTTGACAGCGCCTTACATGTCAATGTAGCGGCAATTTATAAATTGCCATACTCGTATTGAAAAGATAATCATAAAAAAAAGAAACAGAACAGTGTAAAAGCTCTCACGCGAAGAATAGTTATGTTTCATGTTACGGTGTATCATGTTTTTTTTTTTTAACATGCATGATGTTGCCGCTGCCAGCAGTACGTGTGTGTTAGATACATGCCAGTGGCCTATGATTATGCAATTCAAAGTTCTTCCCTCCTACTAACCACCAATGGGACTTAACTCAAATTAATAACATAAAGAGGGCTATTGGATATCATTTGAATTGTCTATAACTCAAAAAATTGACATGGTATTATAACGGATGAAGGTTTGAATCTTCTTGTGGACAGTTCACTTTTAACAATAGTAAATAAAGAAATTTCCATATCGATGTAATTGACAAGTGGTATATTTTATTCAAATGTGCGCTAAACAACAAACAATAAAATGTCAATATCGCAATAAAAGACTTAAAAGTATCTGTCAAAACTAACTGCTGGTGACGAGAACAACATTCTGAGGTTCAAATTTACGAAGGGACTTGAATTAATAGTAAGTATTCATAACCACTTTTCCTTGCAATCTGAAACAAAAATGGTTGTTGTTAGAGATATCTAATACGACCTTATGCTTCAAATAAAAGACGAAAGGCCTGACTTCGGAAAACCAGGTAAATATAATTTTGTTATACGTTGCGGCGAAATGTTTGTATTTCCATTTATTCCATCACCAACTGTAAAAAGTAAAAACATTTCTGTGAAACTGAAAGAGGAGAATGTAGGGTGATCATTCCAAAAAGATTTCGAATCTGCAGGGTAATATTGTTGTGATCATTAGAAACCGTCGGAAATCCTCCAGTAGCTATCTTTTGAAAATGAAAATATACTTATTTGGCGAAAATTGTTGGAAACGTCATTATCTAAATTTTCATTTTTTAACGATCATGTTATGTTGATAATGTTAGACGGGCACACGTATATTGGCCAATCTTTGGGCCTGAAGAAGTCAGTGAAGCTACGAAATTTAACTTCAACCTTTTCATCATTGTCTATTCTTTCGTTTTGTCAGCGCTGACAACGCACGCCGTCGGCAAACTAAAATCCTTCTTGGTTGAGAAAGACTATGGATCGTCAAGAAAACTGCAAATACTAAAAATTGTTTTTAAATTCATTTAATATGGACTTGACATTTAATATCACAGAAGATACGCCACAAGGTAAATTTGACAACAGCTTTGTCATAACAGCTGTTTGCTTAATTCTGATATCCATCTCCGCTGTTGCTGGGAATTTACTTGTCTTGGCGGCCATCGTTATCAAACGGAATCTTCGCACTATATCAGACCTCTACTTGGCAAATTTAGCCGTCGCAGACTTAATGCAGGCAGCTTTAGCCATTCCACTTCGCGCCACAGTTCTCCTCGGAATACGGAAACAGCAAGCTCCAGTTCCTTGTTCAGTGGTGATCTTTTTCACCATACTTTTTGGAGGTGTTTCAAACATGAGCATTCTTCTTGTCGGCGTGGACAGGTTTATAGCCATCAAATGGCCTTTTACATACCACACTTGGCTCACAACGAAGGTTTTTGTCAGCTCTGTGATTCTAACGTGGTCGTCCATGTTTTTGTTCGCAGCATCACCCTTAGTTGGGTGGGGACGATCAGATAACCCTACACTATCCCGCACGTGCCGTTTTACCATGACATTGGACAGAACATATGTCGCGATTGGATACATTTTTATCCACGGATTGCCATTAATAACAATCGTAATAGTCTATTTCTTTATCCTAAAGGCATCTTTCAGACATTCACGCGCTATAGCGGCGCAAGAATTCAGCTTGCAGTCGAATAATTCCCAACTGAAAGAAGATTCTTTTACTCGTGAAGAACTCCGCACAACTGGCTGTCAGGGTCACACAGAAAACTTCAGCAACAGTCACACTGAACAGCCCCATGCACGCATGCGCAATCACGTTCGTAACACCAGCAAAACTGGTAAAGGTGCCCGTATGATCGCGATCTTGATAGGCGTGTTCATTCTTCTTGTGCTGCCAATCGTCGTGATTGACGTGGTGGAGATGTGGGAGCAGCCCTCCGCTCCACCAATAGTAGTTAACATTGCAATATGCTTGATTTACGCTAACTCTGGAGTAAATGTTTTCATCTACGCCGGCTGGAACGCAGAATATCGAAGAAATTTTCATCGTATTTTACTCTCTCTATGGAGGGTAATAACCGGTCCCTGTTCGTGAGTTTGATGACCGAGATGACTCCCGCAACAACACTACTGTTCTCATGTACTTGTTCTCATTTACCCTCGTGTAACTAGGGCCAAATATTCTGGACCCGAAAAAAAAAAGATCAATAAGAACAGGTAAGGAAAAAGATGGAAGTATCTTAGCACAGGTGAATCGAGGAATTATTCGAAATCATTGCTTAAGTTTTCGTGCAGTTAACTGTCAAATGGTTCGAAACGAACCAAGAAGACAGTTAGTGCAGATCTTAGGTAAGAGTTAGTACCAAAGCTGAAGTGTTGCTATCTGAAAGGTGGCAGTTTCATAAGCGTAGAGTTGCAGAGAGCAGATATGAGCACTAAGGCTTAGGTTTTCCTTCAGACAATGCTGAGTATTTTGGTCCGAAGAGACTGCAAATCATTAATAATATTATCTACTCTTTACCTCAACCCTTAAAGGCCATTTGTTAAACCAAGTTTATTTTCTTGTTAATTTTTATTGCTAAAATATAATACCTGGTGCCAATGATTATGGCAGAAGCAGTCGCCTTGTCAATACAAAGCCTCGACACAGGCTCAATATAATTCTATGTCATTTTACCCTATCGTAAAATAGCTTTTACACTGGGATTTATCTCTGTCCTCTTGAAAACCACGTGAAAATATCTTCATTAACACCATGTGGTTTTAAGTGGGATAGCTTACAATGTTACCAATTATAAGTACATGATCGTGATTGAAGGATTTCTAATTAACTATCACCGAGTTACTCTGTCATCTTCTGGAGAACGTGATCGAAGTGATACCGCGATGCTGGAAATTAATGGCGATTCAGCTTAATTTTTACTCCTTGACTGGTCCTATTTCAAAAACTCTTTCAACCTCAAGCATTGTCTTCTTCCGATACGTAAGATAAATCACATATGGACGCGAGTGCATTTTGTTATTTACGTTTAAAACTGCTGCTGTTTTCCATGAAATGATCATTTCATCTAATAATTGTGACAGACATTCCCATCTTGCTAATCTTTGCAATATTTTTAAAAACCTACACATATTACTTTTGCATTAGAGAGGCGTCGTTATTGGAACTTTTGGCAAAAGCTCCCTCAACAACACTTCACTAATGCGACTACTGTTCCGTGTCCTTAAACAATTCGATACCTTGATATGACGTTCCCAAGGTGTAATATTAGAGGGGTTCCCCTAAAATGTAATTTAAAGGGGTTCCCCTAAAATATTGGTTCTTATCGAACATTTCCATAAGATCGTACATAAGGAACGCTGGTTAGTCGGTTGCACGAATTAGCTTAAAAGACGTCAACTGTTTAGATTTTCAAAAAGAACAAGTTTCTTAGCTTCGCTTTCTCTGTTTCGTCAGTAATATTTATTAGAATGAGTTGAGTTCGCTAAACTATCAAACTAGAAAAAAAACTACTTTCATAGGACGCTTATGTAGGGAAGGAAAAGGTTTATGACCAAAAAATAAATGTCTTAACTAAGAGTAAAATGTCAACACATTGGTTTGATTGCCACGTACGAGTAGCACCGGCGGTAAGTCAGCGGACATCACCTCAAGCCAACTCATGTACATCAAAGGAGTTGTGACGTCAGTGACGGGGACTGGAATGGAGATTACGACCAACCTTGTCTCTTCTGAGCAGTGCTGTCGCACAAGTTCTCCGATGCGAATCGTTCTCAGAACTTTCTGGTCTTTGATAGGCTCTTCTCCAAGCTCCTCTTTGACTGGCAGACGTCTGAAAGCATCCATGCTCTCCTTCGACGGCGGTTCATTGCCGATTTCAACTTGCTCCACGCAGCTAGCGTCAAAGCGGAACTTCTTTAACAAGTTTGCCATTTGCAAACCTTGCGGATTCACCTCGTGTTTGGAGCGAAAGTTAGCCGAGAAAAACCTCAATTTGCACTTCTTCCAGGCACCATGAAGTGTCAGCAGGTACGGCAGCAATACTGTCAGACCACCGTCATCGTACAGCCACCAGACATCGATGGTGCCCGTTTGTTTCTCTTTCAATGCAATCTTGACCTCCGGTGTCGGCGAAGATTCGGACGTTGGTTCGGACGCCTTCTCAGGGCTAGTAAGACTTTCTCTCTCTTCGTTTGCTAACTTTTTCCCCGTAGAGGAACGTTTGGGCTTAGGATATTCGTCTCCTTCCATAATCGAGTCCGAATCCGACGAAGAGCTTTCATCCACCTTCTCTACGATAAAATTTTTATTCTGTTCTTCGTTCATTCGAAAAATGACCAGACCATAACTGAGCTCGAAGACGTCGTTAATTACGCCAAGATAGTCTACTACCTCACTTAAGTACCTCTTATCTGTCCAGTTATTCTTATAGCCCATAACAACCGTGTTTGGCCGCATCTTTCCCAGTCCGGTGAGGTGAATCATGGACTGCACCCCCGTGCGGAGACTGGGCGCTGTAGAGGGGAAAAATGGGAACAGAGAGATGACATTGGTAAAGAAAAGTGAACTTTTCTTACCAAATACACATGCAAGTTTTTCTCTGTGATTCCATGCACCCGAAGGCAATTACGGATTAATTTGGAGCGTATTCTCAAGATTCTCTCTTTTTGGTAAGAGTAGGGCAGCGATGTTAGTACTGATTTAGAGAAGTGCTGCTTTCCTGGGATTTTTTTTATAACCCATTTCGTGTAAGAGCCCCAGGTCACTGCATATGATTTGTGCTCGAAAATCAGTATCAAATAATCACGCCCTCTTGATAACCAATAGTCTCTCAGTCATTTATTTGCCTCTTGTGTTTCGTGAACAAAGCGCGGAAATGCAACCCCTTGCACACAAATGTAACCATTTGCCACTCATTAAACATATCTTCAAACAAAAAAAACGTATATAATTTGGGGATGTATAACGAATCACAGGAAAAAGGAAAACAACAACAAAACATATGCAAACTAAAACTGATATAAAATAAATTGGTTTACCAACTGAGTTGAAAATGCGGTAAGTTGGCCACCATAGAGAGTTTCTGAAGCTGACTTTTCGAGCGTTAGTCAGAGCGAAAACTGATATGCACCGGCGGAAATTTAAAAAAAAAAAAATTGAAAAAGAAGGCAACTCTTTAGTAATTCGGCAGTACATTGTTTACCTGCGGTCACAGCGCGGAAAGCTCTGATCTTGTGTTTTCTCATCCACTCGACATCTGATTCGTCTTCAGGGAGCATTCCAAAAGGTTCCTTTATCACATTAGCGTACACCATAAGGCTGACGTTTTTAGTGATCTGAGACACTAGGTATGTAAGGTTGGGTCGGTCGTGTGGATGTCCGGTTAGCACTAAACAATGTGGACGGAAGTTTTTCACGTGATGACCAATTCCATCCAACCGGTGAGTGTAGTGCAAGGCCTGCACGAAAGCGTACGCTTGCGCAGATGATCCCCAATTCACCTGTGTGAAGAGAAAAAGCGAACAGGATGCTGAGTAAACTGTCGAAAACCCCGTGGTAGATTTGATGCTTGTATGCCTGAGTTTCGCACTATTTGATTTTCCTATCAGGGAAAAGATAAATATATCCAGGAGTCGATGAGAACTCAAAGCAAGTACGTACATGTATTGACATTCTCGAGCGCGGTATGAACCAACGAGCTTAACCAAAGATTAGTCTCAACTTTGCTTCTAATTAGCGAAGAGGTCGAGGCTATTTTCTGTACCAATACAATAACATAGCGAGGTGAAGCGAAACGGATGTAATCCCGCATTAGTTTGGGCGGTTTCGGTCTCTCAGTCACTGAGACGAGCGAAACGGTGAGCGCTCGAAGTAAAATGCTTGCTTTTTCGCTCGTCACCACTGACTAAAAGACAGTGGGATTACTTTAGAAAAACAATTTAAATTTGTCGCTTGACGAGATAACTGCTCAGAGCTCGCGTATCATTTACTTCCACCTTCATTCTGTGACAAAATCCCTCTACTTTCCACGCTAAAATGGTTACGCCGCAGATTGCTATTGTCCAGTAACTTGTCTATTCGGAGAGCGAGAGATGGCAAATCTTCTCGTGATATGAAAACTAGTCTATTAACCCCTCACACCCTAACATCAGTATGCATATTCTCCTTACTGTTCTCTATACATTTCCTCAGGTGCTGACATTGAGAATTTGTTAGAAATCTAGTGCTCCTTTAGCAGTGTTCTCCCTTATTTTAAGCATGACAGGTAAAATAAATTTTCAAACCGGTAAAGCAATCCTTTTGCCTGATGAATTTTCAAGAATTCCAAGCAATTTTCAACGGTAATAAGAGGTACTACAGGTGGTAAATGTTACCGGTTACTGCCTGAAAAGGAGAACACTGCTTTAGTTGGTGATCATTTCCTTTATTGATTCAGGGGTGATACTATAGGAAGAAATCAGATGTTAGTCACTCCTGAAGGTTAATGATTTAGATGGTACCCCAACCTTTTTACACAGGACCGACTAAAATATACAACCACACACTTTCCTTCGCATTTCAAGTCTAACCTTAGGTTTGGTGAAGTCGACATACTTGTACAATATCAGCACAATGAAAATTGTCAACAGTGCGGCCCACCAGTTGATAAGGAACATCATAGCGATACACAGCAAGGCCCCTAACAGCGACACCCACATGTTGTAGTACTTAAACGAGGGCCGCCATCCCGGAGAACGCGACAACGAGGCAGCAAACACGGCGTAGTTGATGAGAGCGTAAATAATGAGGTTAAAGCTGGAGATGACTGGGGCAATCACGTTGAGATCTCCGATGGCAATGAACGCTGCCGCCACGAAGAAAGCCAAGATGTAACCTCTGCGAGGTTCATTGCCAGATCCATAACCTACACCAAAGAAATCTATGTAAGGAAAAAGCTTATCTTTGCAAACTGCTTGGAATGCTTTGGGTGCCCCGATAAGATTCGTAAGAGCAGAGGACAAAGTGGATGCAAAGATGCCTGCTGTTACAATTGGACCCCATCCGGACACTTCCTCCATAACCTGAAAGATAAATTAATTAAAAGATAACCACGTTAATATGTTATAGATCAATCAATTGATTGATGACTAAAATTTCGAAGTAATTGGCCTCAGTCTTTGGGGGAAGTTGTATACACTGTATACGGTTTTAAAACTACATGTGGGAGCACATGCAACACAAAGAGGCCGAATGACCTCTTAGCCAGCCATTTTCACTCACGATTCTCACTAGAAGTCGGTAGACTTTATCCATGACATTAATGAGGTCAATCAGCGGAGCAACCCTCATATCAGTGGAAAGATCTTTTGTGACAGGGTGGCTGCAGAGGAGCCTGTGCTAAACAATTTTCAAGCCAAGCTATTCTTAAAAACCCTCTAACTGTCATAAGTGACTCGCATGTAACTTCTCTCCACAATACACATAATTTTTATATCAAGCAAACTAGTAATTAGAATGTTATATTGAAATAACACAAAATTCTTGCGACTCATTTACAAGGAGATGTGTAGAAGGTAGAGGCCAGAGAATTAACGATCAGATCTTGGGAGTTAAAGGGTTGAAGTGAATAAGATGGATGGAATACCAGTGCCGTACGTGCGAGCATTTTGAATAAATTTACAATAAATGCTTTATTTATCTAAAGGAAACCTTACCTGAAAATTGTTTAGAAGCCCATATCTACACTCCTGTTCTTCACAAGAAGCCAAAGTCTTATTGGCTGTATTTTGCAACACCTCCTGCACAAACCCCAGAGCTTCTCTTTCGACGCATCCACCCACAAACCAAGCAAGCATGACATACACAATGGTGCTGATTAGAATGGCCAGCAAGGTCCCCTTTGGAACAGCCTTGTGCACATCTTTGAGATCACCAGATATATTCACCCCAGCTAAAATCCCTGTTGCAGCAGGAAAGAAGACTGCAAAGACAGAGAAGAAACTCTCGCCTTTGTAGTCAGGACTCAAATTGGTCTTAAACACTTCCTTTTGGTACCCCACAAAACCTCTGCTTCTGCTTTCGTCAGATTGTGGCCCAATGAAAGTGCCAATCAGCACATTAAGAATGGAAATAACTAGTACTATGAGAAGTAACATTTGTGCACGTACAACCCACTTTAACCCAATCATGGTGATGCAGAGGAGAATGACAACAGTTATGAGGCCTACAATGCGTATGTCATTGGACTCATCTACCATAAGGGAGCTGTTGTCCCGCAGAATATCCCGCACTGTTTCTGAAAAACCAACCACGTACATTGCTGTTGCCACAGCACTGGCTACTGAGAAGATTATGCCAATGGAGCCTCCAAACTCAGGCCCTAGACTGCGGGAAATGAGATAATAGGTGCCACCTATAAGAAAAGCATGTTTCCTGAATATTTAATTTTTATCACTGAATTGTTTAGAGAAATTAGGTTCCTGATAATAACATGCATCACCCAGGATGCTGAACCATTTTGATTCCAAGATCTAATTAGTAATTCTCTATACTGTCTATTATACAACTCTTATTGTGTTACTTTGGAAAAAAGCTGGTGATGGATTATCTCATAATCCCCTTATAAATATTTTTCTCTAGTATATCTAGATATTTTTTCACAACATATGTAAATATTTTTCACCCCATTGTAACATATATTATTCTATTGTATTGTATGTGTTGTATTTTAATCACTTTTCTGCTTGATATTGTATCGATATTGTGAGGAAAAAATTCTGTTGTGGTAACTTATATCACCCAATGTGCTTAAAATATTTTGGGGACTCATCATATACTCAAAAAAAGTTCCATCCTGATTGGTCAATGATGAATGCATAAATAGGTAAATAATATCGAGCAGAATACTGGATGTGCATGCAGTGCTGTGCTAATGACAAGTCAGTGCCTATAATAATGTAATGTATCATGCCACATGAGAGCCACTCACCTCCTTTGACTTCACCATTGGTACAAACTGCAGATAATGATAATGTTGTCAGAGTAGTTACCACAGCAGACATGATCACAATGAGAGAAGCCAAAGCTATTCCAGCTTGTCCCACCACCCAGGAGAGCCGTAAATAAAGTATCAAACCCCATATGTTGAGCAGACAGCCAAAAAGCACACCTTTGATCCAACCAAACTTTGGTGCACTCTTCACATTTCTTATTTCTATGGAATCCTGGCCATCCTCTAATTTGCTATCACCCAGAGGGGCAGTTTCCTCTGTAAATTCGGCCTAAAAAGTAAAATGAAAATTTGAAATGAGTATAAATCACTTTGCTTTGTCCCTGTTGTAACCCCTTCGACTTTTCTTGTAATTAGCCGACTGATTTACCACCTACATAATAAAGATTTTTTCATGTTATTTTATTTGGGGTCAGTAATTTTAGGTTGTTTGAGTGTTTTTGATTAGTAGGCCACAATGAAAACTACTGCATCACTCTCACAAAGTCATCTGTTTTTTCTGGCAAGTAAAGATTAACTTGCCAACTTGTAGGCCAGTCCAATTTATCAATGTACTATATATAAATCAAAGTATAAAGTTGTAATGGTAAATATCATTTAATTCAATGCTGTTCCATTACAAAAGAGTTGATCATATATGCAGTGTTAACATAAATAAAAAGAATATATGCCAAAAATAGTCATGCAACTGTAAATATCTTTATTTTGTATCAAATTTTTAAAACTTATCTTAATAATGTTACAGATAATGAATTATACAACACCTGAAATATTACATTGTTCTGATTTTAATCAAAATGTTATAATTCACAATGACAGTGAACTTGAACTGGTTGCTTTTTAAAAATAATGGCCACATTTTCTGTCCTCATAATAATCTACTTGCAATGTTGGAAAAATGGTTGAAAAGTTTGAAAATCATAGGCCACTTTCTGTGGTTGTTCAAACATGCTGCACAAATTAATAATTCAACAAACTAGGAGAGGTTCAATGATCAATTGCTCAAAAAGGAAACATTCTCGGTAACTGAATATTATACACTTGATGTATGGTCCCAAGGGAAAGTTAGTTTTGTTTTCCCAAGAGTCCTAAAGTTTCCCGAGACTAAGTCAAGAGAAAAATCAGGACTCAAGGGAAAACAAAACTAACTAGTTTCCCAACGGACCATACATTAAGTGCTTTGTTATAGGTTTAGACCTTCCCTTGAACAATCATGTGCTGTTGCATTCAGCGCACAGGCAACAACCCTTGCAAAATGGATTTTGGAATTCCTAGGAATAAAGGTGCGAATTTTCATGGTAAATTCAGACTGGGAATTCCTAGGAATTCCTAACCATAACAACCCTGGTTCTAAAAACCTAGAAATTCCCAGAAATTCCAAGTTTATAGTCAACAGGACTTGGAATTCCTAGGAATTCCGACTCAGTGCACCAATGACTTTCCCTGAAAAGCTGATAATCTAAAAAATTCCTAGGAATTTGTAGGAATGTTTAAGAACTACTGGGAATTTTAAGCAAAAATTTGAGGCTACTTATGTAAAATAATTACTTAAAATTAAAAAACCCCAGCTAAAATTCAAGTATTCAATGAACTTCATTTACAAGCTTAATTAAGGTTTACGTGTAAAATATTTTTGATTTATTATTAATATCAACATGTGGTAATAGTAGGATGGAATTTTATTTATTTTTCTTTTCTTGAAAACTTCATATGGATTAATCCTCAATAACAGTTATTCCTATAAAATAGTCCTAATCGATTATGAAATTTGGTTTGACACAAATTGTGAATAAAATCTGTTGATTCTCTTCCATAAAATACAATATCTTAAATTATATTTGAAAACCAAGCACTCTTGGGAGTGAAGGGGTTAATTACAGTTAAATAGGATTGATTTTTACTTAAAATCTTGTTGTAACTGTAACAATACATTAGAATGAAGTTATTCTAAACCGCAAACTCAGCTGCTGTTTGTCTTTTTTTCCCTGGGCTAACAATGAGTTGGCCTTGAATGAGGTTGTCTACAAGAAGCTTGACCATTTTGTATCTGGATTCCATGACATCTGAATTTGAAAAAAAAAATCTAAATATGTATATTGAACGCTTAGACTAGGCCTCAGATAGCTATAAGGAAAAGGGCATTCATTGGATTCTCAAATTGGGAAATCTCTGATATAATGGATGACTTTTATATTGGAGTTAGTACATCTCTCCCATAGATTTTACTAAAAGAGGGCTGAATACATTATTTTGTTTATACCAAGGAGGGCTTCTTTATGTAATAAGGTTTGTTTAATAACAGTTTGTATTATGAATCTTGAATGTTCCCAAACGTGACTAAAGTTATCTTGAAACCTTACTGATAGATTTTTTTCATTGTAAAGCATAAGCTTAAGAAACTGCGGCATGTAAGTGACCGATTCGATTCTCAGAATTACTCTAGTTTCAGTTGCGCCGAGCGTTATGTCAGCTTAATTCAAGCCGTTACATCTATTCTTTGATAAGATTTTGATCACGTAACGAATATCGCAATTTTTACTCACCACAAACTTTCAAAATCGTAGCTTTATAAATGGCCAATCGACCCTTGTTTGTACCAGTCGATATGTCAACTGTCGTCCCTTCTTTTAACTCCACGGCGCCAACGACTTTCTTTTCTTTTACATCACTCACGCTGTTCTCGTTTTCCCATTGAACCACGATAAAAACTATCTTTATAAATGCTATATTAAGCAAAACAGTTGAGAAAAAAAAATAACCTAACACACGAGCGATCAAACGATGAAAAGTACATTCAAAGATGAGCGCCAAATGGATTCTTCTTTGTTTCTGATCACGGGCATGATCACGTGGATCTTTTAGGACTTGTCATTGGCTAGTAAAGTGAATCCGCTGGCTTACTGATTGCAGTGTCAAGCGAAGTGCGCAACTTTATTCTGACTTCTTTGACCGGTTCTCTGCTTCTGGACGATGGATACCTTGGACCCATGTTCTGACGGTGATATAAATAATAATGTGAGCTCACTCTATGTAGAAATAATCGACAAGAATCGATCTTACTACAAATGCACGATTTTTGGCCGAAAGTTGTCGAGTAGTGTTCATGGCAAAGGTGAGAAATAACACAAGCCAATCACAATTTTGAATGCGATTACAAATGGTCTTTTACCCTCATATTTATCAAAGAAGGATACCACATTAGGAAGTGTAAGAGATACATTGATGATCTCAGTGTACCAGTACCTAAATCAACAAAGCTTGACCGTAGCAAGCGTTCAGCAACACGTTCCAACACCGCCATCTCGATTCCTCAGTCAGTCGTTTCCACTGAACTTAAAGCAGAGGTGACAACAGAGTAGAGTGCGTCTCATAAAGGAGAAACATTTGTACAAGAGACAGAAGTAACTATATGCGATTACAGAGGTGCGTTGGAACTCTGGTCCACAAATGGTTATGCACTGTCCGAAGTCTAAAACAATATTGTTGATAGCTGACAGACAGAGAAGAACAAAAAGTAAACTTTAGAGCTGTTATTATTGAAGTGTGACTTGCACTTTTCAATTGTATATAAAGAAGGACTTGTATTTTGCACCAAAATAAAAAGAAGTAATATTTTTTGGGAGATCCAGTGATTGGGACATTTAAGAAATTAAGTTATGAAAGGAAACTCAGTTTCTACTTCTCACTACTAACAAGTCTTGTTTTAAAAATATTTTCCGATCAGGGTTTCAAATGAAATAAATTGAAGAAGTCATTTAAAAGGTGTTTTTTCTCAAAGGGAACATTGACTACCTCTGTCTTGTCTGCATGCCAAATGTTTGCAAACTGTGTAGATGATCCGCAAGTATTTTGTAAGAATAAAAACAGCAAAACAAATTACAGCAATCAGTCATGAAAGCAGAGCAAAAAACTGGAAAAAAACAGCAACAACAATCATGAAAAAAGAAAGATTAATTAGGTGTTGAATTTGTTTGTCTAAAAAACAAATTTCTACTAAAAATAATGTCAACAAAAAGTCTCTGACAGTGCTTGAGGCAACTGAGCTTGACTGTTCCAAGGTTTTCTAACTAAGGCAACCAGTAATGTAGGTTAGGGAAGTAACTTATGTTCATAACTAACAAAGTTCTTTAAGTGTAGATAACAATGTAATTATTGTTACACATGTGGAAGTTGTGTACCAAGGAACAGCTAATGAATGTTTGATGATTTTGGCACATCTGTGAACATGAGACATTTTGCATCACAATAAAAATGTTTTATGATCATGGAATCCAAGAGTCCTTTGAGGTTAGAAAGCAAATCTGTGATATGCGTACATTGGATTAATTGACAATTTGCATTTAACATAATTAACTGCTGCTTCATGAGAAAATCCATATTAATGTAGAGATTTATTAAAACTTAGTTTGAATAACAAATTTCATGATCTTCAAGTTATAAAATATATATACATGTGTGTATATCTCTTGGTAAATTTTGTATAGCATAACTTTGAGTGAGCTAAAGTTTTAAGCCTCTAAAATTACTCCTTTTCTTAAAACCTTCACATTCAAGGTATTGAGAATTTCTTAGAATTTATGTGGACCTCAGGGTATTTAAATTGCCTCAAATTCAATTCCCAGAAATTCCCAAGAATTCCACCCTTCTTAAATTATAGGTAGTTTGTATAGCTGAGAATTCCTAGGAATTCCAAGTCCTCACAAAACTGGAGTCTTCCTTTCCCAGAAATTCCCAGTAATTCCAAGCTTTTCAAATCAGAGCTTATTTGCATAGTTGGGAATTTTTGAGAATTCCTGGGAATTCAGTTTGCAAGGGTTATTTGGATAATTGGGAATTTTTGAAAATTCCTAGGAATTCCCAGAAAACTGGGAATTCAGTTTGCAAGGGAATTGCACAATTGTATCTCAGTCTGACCAAGAATCAACCAATCACAGTGTTCATTTTGTTGAGTGAAAGTCTAGGTATATAACAATGTGAGTTTTACCACACCTCAAATCAATTTCAAGCGTTATTAATTTGCATATTTTTTAATCACATAATCTAGTAACTTCTACATGACTCAAGTACAACTTTAGAGTCTAGTCAGCATGCCAAGTTTTATAAATTGAATAAAATTTTATTTTTAAGAAGCTTTGACAGAGCTTTTACAATCAAAAACAGTGAGTGAGCTGCCCATATAGTCAATATGAGTGCAAGTGTTTTTGATCAATCAGCTCATTTAACCAAGTGGAGCATGTCAAGGATACAAACACGCTTAGGCTACCTTCACACAGTACCAAATGTATTTTCAACTAGCTGAAAATTTCAACCAGACATTCTGTTCCCATGGAACCATGCGAAAGTTTCGTTCTGTTCAGATGGAACTGATAACAGGATGAATTTTGTGACATTTTTCAGTGTTTTACCATCTCCTCATGTGCAGAATGCTTCTTAACCCAGTAGCACTGAAAATGAACATTTCACCTGGACAGATGAGGAGACAGCAATACTGCTTATTATGTTGCTTCATCATATAAAAATGAGTAAACAACCAAGGGGAAGGAATGGGAATGGTTAAGAAAACGGTATAAGGAACTACATGAGCTGTTCATCAAAAGATATCGAAAAAACTTAGAAGTAGACCCTGTGCAATTTCCAAACACCAAGGATACTAGCATATTCTCCAAAGACAAGATCATTGCGAAGTTGAAGAGGATAAAGTTCAGCTATCAGAAAGCTGTAGATTCTGGAAGACAAAGCAAAGGGGGAAGAGTAGTAACAATATGATTTGATGAATGCACGGAACTATGGTCTGGATATCCAGCTGTTGAATCTATGGATAATGGTATTGAGACCATGGAAGAGATACCTAGTAATGAAAATCCTGACAGAAGTGAATCAGGATCAATATCTTTGGCAGCGAATGATGCTGCAATGGAGGATAACACTGGTGAGACAACCTCGGATGAAAGTGTCAAGGATGCAGCAATATTTTATATTTTATGACGTTTTCTGTAGTGATATGACTTAAAGACACAGGAATGCTTTGTTTATAAACATCTAAAAGACCAGAGAACAGTGTAGCTAAGATATATATATTGTGGTTATCGATTGTTTTCACAATCCTGGGAGCTTTATTTCTCCAGCAAACCATCATTAATTTCATTTATTCAGCATACAAACTAGCTTTACCGCAGCGTATCAAAATAACATCGACTGAACCCTTAATCAAGATAACTTTATAACAAATGGAAAACATTCACCGGTCAAAAGATTTCACACCTATCTTAGTACACGCAAGATCATATTACACGTGGCAAGGGAACGAAAATTCGAAAATTCACCTAAGTGTAAATGAAAAGCACACAAGCGTTCGTGCTCAAACGGTTGACCACTCTTAAAATACATCCATACCTTGTCATTTTCTAAGCCTTTTCGTAGTTGCTGCAGTGTGGGCCGTTGTTTTCCACCGTGTCCGTGCGAGTGCTGACTGCGATAGAAGATAGTCATGGGGATGGCTTCGTTGCTGGCGTAACCCTGAGTGAAATGTTCAGGGCTTGGCGGGCTCCTAATCGGACTGGATGGTAAAGAAGACTCATTCGAGTGTTCTCCACTTGTGTCTCCAGCAGGATCTGGTCCAGATTTCACCTCCAGAACGGAAAATTTTTTTTTCTGCTCCGTAGACTCGCTATCACCAGCGGCTTGTTCCTTCAGGCTTTCTTCCGGGTTTACTTTGGAATTCTCTACATCAAGCTTCTTCTGCACCTCATCAGACATGTTTACACCTTTTGCTGTTCATTTACGCAAAATGTACATTCATTAACGTCAACAGTTGAAACTATACGGCAAATATACATTCATTCGCACTTCAATGAAATTCATGAACGCGAACGAACTTTCAATAACGCTATTTGCATATGTATTAACATTCTATAGCATCAACGGATGAACAATTGCACCTTGCACCCAATCAAACAGAACAAATATACTTTCAATCTCGCGTAATGGTTGATCATTAACACCAATAGAAAATCAATTACATAGTATGACAATCAATTGCGTATTAGAGACATTCAATAATACAATTTGCATAGAGACGTACATTCAATTGCAACTTCATACAATCGTTTATTCGATATGGTCAATCGATAGCGTGAACTGACAAACATGTGTGTAGTAATAACAATCAACTAGGGAAAAAGAAATTTCAAAATTGTTCGATTACAGTGTACTGTAATGTAATGTTTTGTAATTATCCTTCAATTTCTTCATTATTTAAACATCTTGGAATGTACGTTTGCATAAATCTGTACCACTGTCCACATTTAGCAGCCGTGATGGTGCCTATGTTTCTCTGCAGGGCCTGAAGTAGCAATTGAGTGCGGAAGTTGCCTAACGCGATTCTTTGTCGTCTTGCCTCTGCTCTATTGTTCATCTGTTATTGCTGCTCTGGACGGCTTATGTCCGCTTTTATGGCTGCTTTTAAGGCACTTATTGCTTGCTCTACAATGTTAAGAAACGGGCTGTATGGTGGTAGCTTTTTAAGCTCAGAATTAGGACCAGGAATGGCAGGATTGTTGTGGGCTGGTGCACCGTCATAAATGAAAATCACATGTTCATTTGGGTCGAGATTTAGCCTTGTCTGTGACAGAAAATCATTAAATCTTTGTCCATTCATTCCACCGAGAAATGCCGAGTGAAAAACGAGTCCATTGGTGGGTGAAATTGCCAGTGCTACAGTAACATTTCTCCCTCGCTGACCACATACTTGTCGATATGCCCTCTCTCCCATCCTTGCTCGTCCGTGACTTCTTGCCGTCCAAATATTGTACCCACACTCGTCTACGAAAATACTATGATTCACTACAGCATGGCGCATGAACCAGTTGGCATAGTCGACTCTTTTTTGCAGGACATCAGGGCGGTTTCGTTCAACTGGGAGTGGCCTTGCCAATTTCACACGATACGATACATACCTTCAAGTGTTCTTGCTACTGTACGGTCATGGATTGTTGGTTTTCTTGGAAGACGCTGTCTCAATTCTTGATTTATCTGTGCTAGTGTCAGCAGGCAATTTTCGTTCAAAATGTCATTCAGGCAATTCCTCATTTCATCATCTACTCGAACATGATTTGCTCCTCCTCGTGGTCTCTCCGCGATCCTTCCTTCTCGCAAGTATCGTGGAACGATACTTCTTGCCGTTGAACGGTTCACTCCGATAGTAGCGGCAACCGTCAAATAATCTTCATTCACATTTTCGAAGGCTTGAATAATTCTTTGACGCTGTTCAAGTAGGATTCTGTTTCTTGGTGGCATGATTTTCTCCGGTTATTTCTGTCTACTTGTTCATACAGCGTACAGTGTACTGAACATGTAAAATGTTCTTTATTTTATATCTGCTTCAGCAAAATATTGTGCAAAAAGGAACAAAATTTAAATGATAATGTACATACTCTTGTATTTTTGTTCAGTATTATAAAATACATTTTTCATCCTATTGTTTCTTCGAAAAACACCAATGTTTGTCAGTTCACGTTAATGATTGACCATTTTGAATAAACGATTGTATGAAGGTGCAATTGAATGTACGTCTCTATGCAAATTGTATTATTGAATGTCTCTAAAAGGTGTATTAGGTAAACACACTGGCTATATAAAATGATGACAATGTGATATCTCAGTTGTGTTATCGTCAAAATTACGACTGTTCTGCAGGTTAGTCTTGTCGTAATGAACCGGTCGATCACAAGGAGAGACTCGGAACGTTGTCAAGGGATACCTGAAATCTAAGATCGGATGCCTGAAATACGGGAACGGGCGAAACAATCAGAAAGGCTGGGAAGCGGAAGAAGACAAGGACTATAGAGCACTTAGAACTCACGTAATGCAGAAACAAAGAATAGGAAATAGGATGGAAAAGTAACTATATCGTAGTAATAACATGTATTTGAGATAACTCTACCCTATGTAAGAGACTTACCTTCACAAGACCTCAGCGCTTCAAAACAGTAGCAACTAATCCTCAAATTAAACTGAATAAGGTTATTTTGAGTCAATTAGCGGCTGCATTTTTAAAGAAATATTTCTTCTTTTTAAGTTTCTTCTGTTACAGCCAAAACCTCATTTTTTAAAACGAGTTCCTCAACAGTAAAAATAAAAGGGCTTACAAATAAAAGAGGGAATTGATTTTCTGTGTTTGATGGATGAATAGATCGATCTTTTTTTTGTTTGTTTCTTTGCTTCCTTTAGTTAGTCTCAACATATTCAGAGATTGGTGCTCTAAAAGCCTTTAGGAGCCATTAGTCATGATATTAGAAAACGACGTCCTAAATTTCATGCCACAGCGCGTATATGACCAAAGGGCAGTCAGACACACACAAATACCCAGTTTGTTCGCACGATTCTTCCCTCCACCTTTCTGAGTCAGTTAGTCAGTCACTTACTCAGTCAATCAGCCAGTCAGTCAGTCAATCAGTTGGTCAGTCAATCGATCAGTCAGCCAGTCACTCAGTCAATCAGCCAGTCAGTATGTCGATCAGTTAGTCAGTCAATCGATTAGTCAGTCAGTCATTAGTCAATCAGTCAGGCGTTACCAAAATAATTACCAAAAAAAAAACTTTCTAGTCCATTTTTCATACAACCTAAAATAGAAGAGTTTTCCCAATGATTTTGATCTAAATTAAACGATCACGATGCGTCATAGTTAACGGTCATTTGCGCGCGCTTTATCTTTCAGAGATTAAGTGAAAGCGATAGAGATGAATGAGGTCCGAAATCTTAAACAGTGAATGACATAATGGTCACATGATAAGTCAGAATAACTGAAAATACGCTTTACGAAAGGTGCAAAGAAAAGTGGTGATACTAGACACCTACCTTAATTGTCATTTTACGTCTCCGAATTATTTCACAAATGGCTCGTAGTTGCTTGTGGCCGGAAAGATAAAAAACTCACACATAAGCATTAAAAAGGACGTCCATTAGTTGGATGCTTTTTCATTCTCATCATCGCCTGATATTTTTTGAGCAAGGAGTTTACAGCTGCACTGGGCGTTTTCGATAATCATAATTACCCATGTTTACACTCGCATATGTGGGCACTCCACATGAAGTCGGAAATCTTTCCAGTCTGAGCAGTTGTTATGGTTACGTGCGGTAAACATATTGCAATCGTCATGATGTCGTGACATATTCAAGTACGTAATATAGAGAAGCTAGCAACCTGGGTCGGAGTTAAGAAGTTTGCACGCTAGAATTCAATTTGCTTTGCTTACAACGAATATTTCCTTTTTTCATCATTTTTTGAAGCCATTCCAATCATATGGATGAATAAACGTTGAAATTTCAAAAATGAGTTCATGTATAAGACGTACACATCGAGATACGGGCTGATGGGTGCTAAAGGAAAATTATTTGAAGAGCACGAATGAAGCGCAAGACTTGCTCAAGGTGTAGCTTACAGGAACTCTCGCTTCTCAAGGACTCTCCAAGCTCCCCATATTTATATTTCCGTCTAATTATTTTTTAAGAACAAGTGCGTATGATTTTCTTTTCAAATCTGCCACAGCCTTTTTACACAAAAATCCTTATACTTGATTTGACGGCTATGGTGATATTACACGGCACCGTATTACCCATTGTCAACTATCACCGGGCTTGGGGTACCAAAGAAAAATTCCCTATCGGAGGTCTCCCCTCCCCTTTCCCTAAGGCCTTTTTTTCTCTCTTCTCAGTACCCCTCTGCTTTTTTTAACACAAGCGGGAATGATTGTGATATAACCATCTGTGTGTAACTTTCAGGCCTTGGTTCTGGAGGATCTAAATTATGTCGCGAGGAGATATAAGAGTGGAAAGTACGCTATAGACCAATCTGTGACAAATCAATACTTAAAGGTAAGGTTGCCTTATGCAAAGAACATAGAGCCAGTTGTATTGATGACATCTGTAAAGAAAATACAATATATAAAGTTCAGTTATTAAAGATTACTAAATTATTTTGAAATTGGTTAGATTATCAGTCCTTGATAGATCCTAACCGATCAAAGTAGTAACCGATCAAATTGTTTCGTCATGTAAGATGCAGCTGAATTAACTTTGTTATGTTAACATTTACAGGCACTGGTGATGACAGACAGTTAACAAAGTTGACATGAAAAAGGTATAAAACTAAATATATTTTATTTTTTGGGGGGCATTTAAGTTTTGCAAAGGCTGTAGCAATTGCAAAATATATTTGTTTTGAGAAGTTGCAACTTCTGTCCTACATTTTAGTCAAATGCGAATATATATACATATGCGCGTGTTTTACTGAAAGGAAAATATTTGTTGCCTAAGGAAAAGAGATGTCAATTTACCTTAAAGGAGAACAGCATTATTCTTCACTGGCCACTTGAGCTTTCCTGAATACCAGCATACAATTACCGTTGAGGAGTACCTTGGGAACCTACATCCAGGGTTTTAGATGAGGGGGCCTTTTCAGAGAATGGGCACTTTCAAAAAGGGGGCCCAGCATAATTTTAACCTTGTCATTGAGCTATTTCTTGTATTCTAAATTTTTTTTAAGTGGGAAGGGGAAGGAGAGGGTTCATGAAAAACTTTGGGCTCCTGATGAGGGCAGGGGTTTGTTGGAGTAGGGTTCTTATCTTAAAGACATAGATAATCGGCCCTGTACTTTGTTTTTTTGTGCGTGTCTGTGTTTAGATCTCTTCTTCAGACAATGATTATGGTAGTACAGCATCCCATGGGGCACCAACCTCTCCTTTAGTTCAAACTGAGACTGAGGATAGTCCAATACATGTCATTACTCAAAACCAGAAAGGTGAGCTCAGTATAGTTCTTTTTTCCGAGAGGACACTTCTGGCTCATCCAGGAGGCTTTGACATACTATTCCTTCAAAACACTGAAAATGTATTATTTGAAAAATACCTCAGTGGTAGAATTCACTCTGTCACTTTTACAGGTTCGTAATATTATTTTACACTCTCTTTGGAGGGTAATAACCAGTCCCTGTTCGTGAGTTTGATGACCGAGATGACTCGCGTAACAACAGCACCGTCCAAATTTACCTAAGACAATGTTGGATATGCAACCAGAGCCAAATATTCTGGAACCGAAACTTAAATCTGCATTAGTACGTTCAGACCCGCGAAATGAAAAGACCTGTACCCTCTTAACCTGTAGGTCAACTCATCTCGCGGGTCTTCTCGTCCTGCTGTTGCTCCTATTCCGTAAGTCTTCTAATCCCGCAGGCTTTCTCACACTACAGGTTTTCTCATCCCGCACGTCTTCCCATCCTCCCGACCAAATGATCTCAACAGCTTGCACAGAACTCTTAAATAAAGCAAATGTTTAATACTAAAAGTACGCTGAATCCATTGATGGGAAAGGTGTCAAATGGTTGAGGCGTGGGTCAGTGTGCTGAACTCTGGGTCGGACGGCCCGAGTTCAAGTCCTGGCTGGGGCATGACGTTGTGTCCTTAAGCAAGACGCCTCACACATTGCTTCGTCTTCTCGGATAGGACGTAAAACCGTAGGCCACGTCTCCTGCAGGGCTGGGGTAGGAGACGTTAATTTCCCACGCACGAGATTACTGTGTGGTGGATGTCCTCCCCTGGGGTGGGATGGGTGGTGGGTATGGGTGTATTAACCAGGTAGGGGACTTATGTCCTATTGTTATGCACCTGTACTTGTACTTGTACGAATCCATTAAATATATAAATGATAAAGCTTGTAAGTAACATGAGTGTTAAAATAAAAAGCGTTGTTTTAAAAAGTAAGGTGTCTCACTTCGACAGAAGAATTACCAATATGAAGATCGGGTTGTTAGGGAGGAATTATTCGAAATCATCGCCTAAGTTTTCGTGCAATCGACTGTCAAATGGTTGGAAACGAACCAAGAAGACAGTTAATGCAGATCTTAGGTAAGAGTTAGTATCAAAGCTGTAGTGTTGCTATATGAATTGTAGGTGGCAGTTTCATAAGCGTAGAGTCGCAGAGAGCAGATATGAGCACTGAGATTTAGGTCTTTCTTAAGACAATACTGAATAGTTTGGTCCAAAAAGAATGCAAATCATTAATAATATAATCTGCTCTTTACCTCAACCCTTAAAGGCAATTTGCTAAACCAATTTTATTCTAATGTCAATTTTTACTGCTAAAATATATTAACTGGTGCCAATTATTATGGCAGAAGCAGTCGCCTTGTCAATACAAAGCCTCGATACAGGCTAAATATACTTCTGTCATTTTACCCTATCGTAAAGTATTTTTTACACCGGGGTTTAACACTGTCCCACTGAAAACCAGGTGACAATATCCTCATCAACACCACGCGGTTTTAAGTAGGACAACTTACAATACGTTACTAATTATCAGTACATGATAATGATTTAAGGATTTATTATTAACTTTCATCGAGTGAGAATGTGATCGAAGTGATATCGCGATGCTGGAAATCAATGGTGATTCAGCTTAAAGTTTACTTCTTGATTGATTCTTTTCAAAAAACTCTTTCAACCTCAAGCACTGTCTTCCAATACGGAAGACAAACTGTATGGCACGAGTGCATTTTTTTGTTTACGAGTAAAACTGCTGCTGTTTTTCATGAAATGGTAATTTCATCCAATAATTGTGACAGATATACCCATCTCGCTGATCTTTGCAATATTTTTAGAAACCTAAACATTTTAGTTTTGCATTAGAGAGGTGTCGTTATTGGAACCTTTGGCATAAGCTCCATCAACGACACCTCACTATGATCGTACATAAGGTTAGACGGTTGCATAAATAAGCTAAAAAGACGTCAACCAATGAGACGTTAAAGCCATTAACATAGAATTTGAAAGTGTTTTTGAAGGATAGCAGCTGTGAAATAGTTGTATCATGGAAGCTAAAGAGTGCATGAAGTGCAATTTCTGAGTAAAGTAAGCTGTGTTCCACTACGAGTTAAACATTTCGGACTATTTTGAAGTTTTTTCCTTTTTTTTCCGTTTTTTTCTTCGGGGGGTGGGGGAGGGGGGAGGGAAGGTTATAAATTACTGGTATTGCTTTAAAACGCTAACGTCTCACAATCCAAACTTAAGTGGGATCAGTTCCGTGGTAGCAAGATTTTTCAAACAGGACAACTTTCTTCGCTTCGCTTTCTCTGTTTCGCCAGTAATATTTATTAGTATGAGCTGAGTTCGCTAAACCATCAAACTGAAACAGAACCGCCTTCGTAGGACGCGTATGTAGGCTAAGAAAAGGTTTATGACCAAAAAATAAAGTCTAAACTAGGAGTAAAATGTCAACACATTGGTTTGATTGCCACGTACGAGTAGAACCGGCGGTAAGTCAGCGGACATCACCTCAAGCCAACTCATGTACATCAAAGGGGTTGTGACGTCAGTGACGGGGACTGGAATGGAGATTACGACCAACCTTGTCTCCTCTGAGCAGTGCTGCCGCACGAGTTCTCCGATGCGAATCGTTCTAAGAACTTTCTGGTCTTTGATAGGCTCTTCTCCAAGCTCCTCTTTGACTGGCAGACGTCTGAAAGCATCGATGCTCTCCTTCGACGGCGGTTCATTGATTTCAACTTGCTCCACGCAGCTAGCGTCAACGCGGAACTTCTTTAACAAGTTTGCCATTTGCAAACCTTGCGGATTCACCTCGTGCTTGGAGCGAATGTTAGCTGAGAAAAACCTCAATTTGCACTTCTTCCAGGCACGATGAAGTGTCAGCAGGTACGGCAGCAATACCGTCAGGCCACCATCATCGTACAGCCACCAGACATCGATGGTGCCCGTTTGTTTCTCTTTCAATGCAATCTTGACCTCCGGTGTCGGCGAAGATTCGGACGTTAGTTCGGACGCCTTCTCAGGGCTAGTAAGACTTTCTCTCTCTTCGTTCGTTGACTTTTTCGCCGGAGAGGAACGTTTGGGCTTAGGATATTCGTCTTCTTCTATAATCGAGTCCGAATCCGACGAAGAGCTTTCATCCACCTTCTCTACGATGAAATTTTTCTTCTGTTCTTCGTTCATTCGAAGAATGACCAGACCATACTTGAGCTCGAAGACATCGTTAATAACGCCAAGATAGTCTACTACCTCACTTAAGTACCTCTTATCTGTCCAGTTATTCTTATAGCCCATGACAACCGTGTTTGGCCGCATCTTTCCCAGTCCGGTGAGGTGAATCATGGACTGCACCCCCATGCGGAGACTGGGCGCTGTAGAGAGGGAAAATGGGAACAGAGAGATGACATCAGTAGAGAAAATGAACTCTTCTTACCGAATACACATGCGACACAAGTTTTCCTCTGTGATTCCATGGACCTGAAGGCAATTACGGATTAATTTCGAGCATTTTCTAAAGATTCTCTCTCTTTTTTTTGTAAGGGTAGGGCAGCGATGTTAGTACTGATTTAGAGGAGTGCTGCTTTCCTGGGATTTTTTTTTAGAACCCATTTCATGTGAGAGCCCCAGGTCAATGCACATGACTTGTGCTCGCAAATCAGTATCAAATAATCATGCCCTCTTGATAACCAATAGTCTCTCAGTCATTCATTTGCCCCTTGTGCTTCGTGAACAAAGCACGGAAATGCAACCCCTCGCACACAAATGTAACCATTTGCCACCCATTAAACATATCTTCAAACAAGAAAAACGTATATAATTTGGGGATGTATAACGAATCACAGGAAAAAGAAAACAATAAAACATGTTGACTAAAACTGATATAAAATAAATTGGTTTTACCAACTGAGTTGAAAATGTAAGTTGGCCACCACAGAGAGTTTCTAAAGCTGACTTTTCGAGCGTTAGTCACAGTGAAAACTGATACACACCGGCGGAAATAAAAAAATAAAATTGAATAGAAGGCAACTCTTCAGTAATTCGGCAGTACATTGTTTACCTGTGGTCACAGCGCGGAAAGCTTTGATCTTGTGTTTTCTCATCCACTCGACATCTGATTCGTCTTCAGGGAGCATTCCAAAAGCTTCCTTTATCACATTAGCGTACACCATAAGGCTGACGTTTTTAGTGATCTGAGACACTAGGTATGTAAGGTTGGGTCGGTCTTGTGGATGTCCGGTTAACACTAAACAATGTGGACGGAAGTTTTTCACGTGATGACCAATTCCATCCAATCGGCGAGTGTAGCGCAAGGCCTGCACGAAAGTGTACGCTTGCGCAGATGATCCCCAATTCACCTGTGTGTAACAGGAGAGAAAATGAACAGGGTGCTGAGTAAACTGTCGAAAACCCCGCGGTAGATTTAATGCTTGTATACCTGAGTTGAGCACTAGTTGATTTTTCTATCAGGAAAAAGATGAATATCTCGAGGAGTCCATGAGAACTCAAAGCAAGTACGTATATGTTTTGACATTCTCGAGCGCGGTACAACCAGCGAGCTTAACCAAAGATTAGCCTTAACTTTGCTTCTGATTAGCTAAGAAGTCGAGCCAAGTTTCTGTACCAATACAATAACAAAGCAAGTTGAAGCGAAACGAATGTAATCCCGCATTAGTTTGGGCGGTTTCGGTCTCTCAGTCACTGAGACGAGCGAAACGGCGAGCGCTCGAAGTAAAATGCTTGCTTTTTCGCTCGTCGCCACTGACTAAAAGACAATGGGATTACTTTAGAAAATAAATTTATGTTTGTCACTTGACGAGATAACTGCTCAGAGCTCGCGTATCATTTACTTCCACCTTCATTCTGTGACAAAATCCCTCTACTTTCCACGCTAAAATGGTTACGCCGCAGATTGTCATTGTCCAGTAACTTGTCTATTCGGAGAGCGAGAAATGGCAAATCTTCTCATTACATGGAAACTAGTTTATAAACCCCTAACTCCCTTTCCATTTCCTCAGGTGTTCACATTGAGAATTTATTAGAAATCTAGTGCTCCTTTAGCAGTGTTCTCTCTTATTTTAAGCACGACAGGTAAAACAAATTTTCAAACCGGTAAAGCAATCCTTTAGCCCGATGAATTTTCAAGAATTCCAAGCAATTTTAAACGGTAATAAGAGGTACTACGGGTGGTAAATGTTACCGGTTACGGCCTGAAAAGGAGAACACTGCTTTAGTTGGTGATCATTTCCTTTATTGATTCAGGGGTGATACTATAGGGAAAAGTCAGATGCTAGTTACTCCTGGAGGTTAACGATTTAATTGGTACCCCAACCTTTTACACAGGACCGACTAAAATATAAAACCACACACTTTCCTTCGGATTTCAAGTCTAACCTTAGGTTTGGTGAAGTCGACATACTTGTACAATATCAGCACAATGAATATTGTCAACAGTGCGGCCCACCAGTTGATAAGGAACATCATAGCGATACACAGCAAGGCCCCTAACAGCGACACCCACATGTTGTAGTACTTAAACGAGGGCCGCCATCCCGGAGAACGCGATAACGAGGCAGCAAACACGGCGTAGTTGATGAGAGCGTACACAATGAGGAAAAAGTTGGAAATGATTGGGGCAATCACGTTGAGATCTCCGATGGCAATGAACGCTGCCGCCACGAAGAAAGCCAAGATGTAGCCCCTACGAGGTTCATTGCCAGGCCCATAACCAACACCAAAGAAATCTATGTAAGGAAAAAGCTTGTCTTTGCAAACTGCTTGGAATGCTTTGGGTGCCCCGACAAGACTCGCAAGTGCAGAGGACAAAGTGGATGCAAAGATGCCTGCTGTTACAATTGGACCCCATCCCGACACTTCCTCCATAACCTAAAAGATAAATTTACTAAAAGATAACTACTTAAATAAGTTAGGGATCAATTAATCAATTGATAACTCAAATTTCGAAGTAATTGGCCTCAGTCTTTGGGGAAAGTTGTATATACTGTATTAGTACTACATGTAAGTGCAAATGCAACACAAAGAGGCCGAATGACCTTCAATAACATCTTTGCCAGCTATTTTCACTCATAATTCTCACTAGAAGTCAGTAGACTTTATCCATGACATTATCGAGGTCAATCAGCAGAACAACCCTGTTCTCAGTGGAAAGACCTCTTGTGACAGGGTGGCTACAAAGGGACCTGAGCCAAAGAATTTGCAAGCCAAGCTATTCTTTTAAAACCCTATAACTCCCATAAGTGACTCGCATGTAACTTCTCTCCACATGTACATAATTATAACATAAAGAAAACTGGGAATGAGAATGTTATCTTGAAATAACACCAAATTCTTGTAACTCATTTACAAAGAGATGTGTAGAAGGTAACAGCCAGAGAATAAATGATCAGATCATGGGATTTCAAGGGTTGAAGTGAATAAGATGGATGGAATACCAGTGACATATGTGCAAGCATTTTGAAAAAATTTAACAGTATATGCTTTGTTTTTTTAAAGGAAACCTTACCTGAAAATCATTTAGAAGCCCATATCTACACTCCTGTTCTACACAAGAAGCCAAAGTCTTATTTTGCAACACCTCCTGCACAAACCCCAGAGCTTCCCTTTCGACGCATCCACCCACAAACCAGGCAAGCATGACATACACAATGGTGCTGATTAGAATGGCCAGCAAGGTCCCCTTTGGAACAGCCTTGTGCACATCTTTGAGATCACCAGATATATTCACCCCAGCTAAAATCCCTGTTGCAGCAGGAAAGAAGACTGCAAAGACAGAGAAGAAACTCTCGCCTTTATAACCAGGACCCAAATTGGTCTCAAACACTTCCTTTTGGTACCCAACAAAACCTCTGCTTCTGCTTTCCTCAGACTGTGGCCCGATGAAAGTGCCAATCAGCACATTAAGAATGGAAATAACTAGTACTATGAGAAGTAACATTTGTGCACGCACAACCCATTCTAACCCAATCATGGTGATGCCAAGGAGAATGACAACAGTAATGAGGCCTACAATGCGTATGTCATTGGACTCATCTATCATAAGGGAGCCATTGTCCCGGAGAATATCTCGCACTGTTTCTGAAAAGCCAACCACATACATTGCTGTTGCCACAGCACTGGCTACTGAGAAGATTATGCCAATGGAGCCTCCAAACTCAGGCCCTAGACTGCGGGAAATGAGATAATAGGCACCACCTACAAGAAAAGTATGTTTACTGAATATTTAATTTGCATCAGTGAATTGTGTTTGGGGAAATTAGGTGCCTGATAGTAACATACATCACCCAGGATGCTAAACCATTTTGGCTTCAAGATCTTATTAATTAGTAATTCTCCATACTGTCTGTTATACAATTCTTATTGTGTTACTTTGAAAGAAATTGGTGATGGATTAACTTATAATCTCCTAATGAACATTATATGTAGATATTTTTTTTGCAAACACATGTAAATATTTTTCACCCCATTGCAATGTATTATTGTGAATTTTCTATCACTGTATATTACAACAGAATAGCCTCCTATAGGGGAGCTGTAAAAAAAAAATATTGTATTGTATCTTAATCACTTTTCTGCTTGATATTGCATCAATATTGTCAGGAAAAATTCTGTTGTGGCGACTATGTCACCCAATGTGCTTAAAATATTTCGGGGACTTATCACATACTCAAAAAAATATTCCATCCTGATTAGTCAATGATGAATGCATAAATAGGTATATAATATAGCACAGAATACTGGACAGTGCTGTGCTATGACAAGTCAGTGCCTATAATAATGGAGGGGGGCATTAGGGCCTATTAGAAACCGCAAAACTGTACAAAAAATCATCCAAAACCAAAAAACCGAAAAAAATGCAATAAAAACTGAAAACCACATGCGAAACTGTCAAAACCGATACATTTTCACATCCCAGTTATTAAAACCCTGATTGATTCAATACAGTGGTGACAAGTGGAGCATACAGAGTAAACTACACTAATTTCATTACAGGATTTATGAATGCCATGGGCTTAGCATTTGTATCTTCTAGTATCTGCTTAAATAAAACAGCTGCTCTCTCAAGGACCTTGAGTGTAGTCTCTTTGGACTCAGCAGCTGGTAACAGAGCCTAGTTAAATTAAGGAAATTTGCTCAAAAGTCCTCAATAGAATTGCAATTTTGCAGTCGCAAATAGCTATAGCTCTGGAAAGTTTCATCAAAAGTCCCTAATCTAACACTTCCATTTGCAAACTAAGACCTGAAAGTCTGGAGATTCTATTGGAATGTTGAATCAATCAGTCACATGCAGCCTGTAATTTGGTCACCAACTTTGAGGCGGCATTGATAAAGAAACTTTGGCAATATTCTGTCCTTAGCTGTACCCTATATGTAGCCACACCCTCCCCCCCCCCCCTTTGGAGGAGGGATCCCTGTAATATTTCAATTGGTTTGTCACGCATTCCTCTCTATAACATTTGTGTTTAGCGGCTACCCGAGATCAGTGGAAGCACATTATTGCCCCTTAGATCGAAGAGAAACCGGAACCCATTTAGGTCAAATAGGAAAAACCAAAAACTGCATCAGATATCAAATACAAAAACCTGTTAGTATTTTTCATGAAAACCAAAAACCAAATGCTAAAAAACTGAAAATCTGCAAACCCCAATGAACACCAAAACTGAAAAACCCAAGTTTTTTAGTGCAAAAACCGAAAAATTGGTCTAAAAAATAGCCAAAACCACAGAACCAAAAATCCCAATGCCCCCCTCATAATGTGATGCATCATGCCACATGATAGCCACTCACCTCCTTTGACTTCACCATTGGTACAAACTGCAGATAATGATAATGTCGTCAGAGTAGTTACCACAGCAGACATGATCACAATGAGAGAAGCCAAAGCTATTCCAGCTTGTCCCACCACCCAGGAGAGCCGTAAATAAAGCATCACACCCCATATGTTGAGCAGACAGCCAAAAAGCACACCTTTGATCCAACCAAACTTTGGTGCACTCCTTGCATTTCTTATTTCTATAGAATCCTGGCCATCTTCTAATTTGCTATCATCCAGAGGGGCAGTTTCCTCTATAAATTCAGCCTAAAAAATAAATGAAAATTTGGAATGAGTACAAATCACTTTGCTTAGTCCTTGGTGTAACCCCTTAGGCTTCACTTGTAAGTAGCCAACTGATTTACCACCAACACAATTAAGATTTGTTCATGTTATATTTTATTTGTGGTCAGCAATTTCAGGTTGTTTGAGTGTTTTTGATTAGTACGCCACAATCAAAACTACTGCATCACTCTTAGAAAGTCATCAGTTTTTTCAGGCAAGTAAAGATTAACTTGCCTGCTTGCAGGCCAGTCCAATTTATCAATGTACCATATATAAATCATTTAATTCAATGTTGTTCCATTACAAAAGAGTTGATCATGTATGCCAGCAGTTTTAGCATAAATAAACAGCACATATACCAGAAATGGTCATACAGCTGTAAATATCTTTATTTTGTATCAAATTTTTAAAACTTATCTCAATAATTTTACAGGTAATAAATTATACAACACCTGAAATATGAAATTGTTCTGATTTTAATCAAAACGTGATATTTCACAATAACGGTGAACTTAAACTGGTTACTTTTTAAAAATAATGGCCACATTTTCTGTCCTCATAATAATCTACTTGCAATGTTGGAAAAATGGTTGAAAAGTTTGAAAATCATGGGCCATTTTCTGTGGTTGTTCAAACATGCTGCACAAATCAATAATTCATCAAACCAAGAGAGGTTCTATAATCGATTGCTCAAAAGGTAAACATATCTCGGTAACTGAATATTGTGATTTTTTACCACACCTAAAATCAATTTCGTACGTATTTGCATATTTTTTAATCACATAAGCTACTAATTTCTACATGGCTCAAGTACAACTTTCGTGTCTAGTCCGCAGGCCGAGTTTTATAAATTGAATCAAATTTAACTTTTAAGAAGCTTTGACGGAGCTTTTACAATCAAAAACGGTTAGCGAGCTGCCCATAAAATCAATATAGGCGCGAGTGTTTTTGATCATCAGCTCATTAAACCAAGAGGTGCGTGTCAAGGATACAAACACATTTAGACTGCAGCAATATTTTAAATTTTATGATGTTTTCTACAGTGATGTGACTTAAATACACGGCAATGCTTTGTTTATAAACATCAAAAGGACTAGAGAACAGTGTAGCTAAGGTACTGTGTTTCTCGGTTGTTTTCGCAATCCTGGGAGCTTTATTCTCCAGCGAACCATCATTAATTTCGTTCACTCAGCATACAAATTAGATTTACCGCCGCGTATCACAATAATATCGTCTAAACCCCTAATCACGATAACTTTATCAAAAATGGAAAACATTCACCGGTCAGAAGATTTCACACCCATCTTGATACACGCAAGACCACATTGCACGTGACAAGTAAACGAAAATTCAAAAATTCACCAAACTGAAAATGAAAAGCCCACGAGCGTTCGTACTTCAACGGTTGACCACTCTTAAAATACATTCATACCTTGTCATTTTCTAAGCCTTTTCGTAGTTGCTGCAGTGTGGGCCGTTGTTTTCCACCGTGTCCGTGCGAGTGCTGACTGCGATAGAAGATAGTCATGGGGATGGCTTCGTTGGTAGCGTAACCGTGAGTGAAATGTTCAGGGCTTCGCGGGCTTTCGATCGGACTGGATGGTGAAGAAGACTCATTCGAGTGTTCTCCACTTGTGTCTCCAGAAGAATCTGGTCCAAATTTCACCTTCAGAACGGAAAATTTTTTTTTCTGTTCCGTAGACTCGTCATCACCGGCGGCTTGTTCCTTCAGGCTTTCCTCCGGGTTTGAGTTGGAATTCTCTACATCAAGCTTCTTCTCCACCTCATCAGACATGTCTATAAGGTAAAAAGGCTGACTAAAATGATGACAAAGAGATATTTCAGCTGTGTTATCGTCAAACTTGCGACTGTTCTGCAGGTTAGCCTTGTCGTAATAAACCGGTCGATCTCGAACTGCCGCTTTGGTGAGTGTCAAGGGATACCGGAAATCTGGGATACGAGGCCTGAAACACAGGAACGGTCGGAACAATCAGAACGGCTGGAAAGCGGAGGAAGAGAAGGACTATAGAGCGCTTGGAACTAATGAAATGCAGAAACAGAAGATAGGAAATAGGATGGAAAAGTAAGTATATCGCAGCAATGACATGTATTTTAAAAGAAAAATTACCTGTGATGGGAGAAAGGACTTTGAGATACCCCCGTGTAAGAGACTTACCTTCACAAGACCTCAGTTCGTCAAAAATATAGCAACTAATGCTCAAAATAAACTGAATAAGGTTACTTTGAGTCAGTTTTCTACCATATTTTTGAATTAATGTTTCTTCTTTTTATGTTTCTTCCTAAATAGCCAGTTCCTCAACAATGAAAATAAAAGTGAAAGAGGAAATTGTTTTTCTGTGTTTGATCGATGGATGAATAGATCGATCTTTTTTCGTTTGTTTGTTTGATTCCTTTAGTTGATCTCAACATATTCAGAGATTGGTGCTCTAAAAGCCTTTAGGAGCCATTAATCAAGATCTTGGAAAACGACGTCCCAAATTTCATGTCACGGTGCACATGACCAAAGGACAATGAGAAACACACACACACACACACACACACACACACACACACACACACACTCTTTGTTCGCTCGATTCTTCCGTCCACCTTTCTGTGAGTCAGTTAGTCCGTCAGTCACTTATTCAATCAGCCAGTTAGTCAGTCAATCAGTTAGTCAGTCAAACGATCTGTCAGTCGGTCGTCAGCAAAATAATAACTTTCCAGCCCATTTTTCATTCGACTTTAAATAGAAGAGAAATAATTTCGGTTTTTCCTCGCTAATTTTGATCTAAATTAAACGATCTCGATGCGTCATAGCCAACGGTCATTTGCACGCGCCTTATCTTTAAGAGATTTAGTGAAAGCGATAAAGATAAACGAGGTCCGAAATCTTAAACAACGAGTGAAACAATGGCCACATGATAAGTCAGATTAACTGAAAAACTCTTTACGAAAGGTGCAATGAAAAGTGGTGAAGCTAGACACCTACCTTAATTGTCATTTTACGTCTCCGAGTGATTCCTAAAATGGATCGTAGTTGCTTGTGGCCAGAAAGATCAAAAACTCACACCGATAAGTATTAAAAAGGACATCCTATAGGTTGGATTCTTTTTCATTCTCATCATCGCCTGATATTGTTTTGCACAGAGAGTTTATAATTCCATTTGGCGTTTTTTATAACCATAACTACTCGTTATTTACACACGCATGTAGCCACTCCCCATGAAATCGGAAATCTTCCTAGTCTGTGCAGTTGTTATGGTTACGCGAGATCACGGATTGTAATCGTCACGATGTCGTAACTCATTCAAGTACGTAATGTAGAGAAGCGAGCAACCTGGGACGTAGTTAAGAAGTTTGGACGCTAGAATTAAATTTCCTTTGCTTACAACGAAATCTTTTTTTCTTTTTAATAATTTTTGAAGCCATTCTGTATCCAATAATACGGATGAATAAACGTTGAAATTTCAAAAATGGGTCATTTGAATTATTTGAAGGGCACAAGGGAAGTCCAAGACTTGCTCAACGTGTAGGTTACGGAACACTCGCTTCTCAAGGGCTCCCTAAACTTCGTATATTTATAATACCGTCCATTCATTTTTTAAGAACTAGTGCGTATGATTTTCTTTTCAAATCTGCCACAGCTTTTTTCACAAACATCTTTAAACTTGATTTTACGGCATTTGCTCAGGGACGGTGCACTGTACTCAACTTCTGTGTTTCCCGCGTTTATTTTAGTCAGCGGGTCACCACCTAAACCCATGATGCAACATTCATGCCTCAGAAGGAAAGTATAATGGACTCTGTGATTATGTTGTGTAACTAAATTCTCGGAATCTACTTCCTATGCGGTGATTCAATTTTGGTACTAACAAGCAAAAGATGTTTTCTCCTTCAGGAATCACCCCTCAGGTATCTAAAACATGTTTTAAGCCGGTAAAGCAATGAACTTTTTTAATTTTCCCGTCTTTGTCTCACGTGCTTGTCTCAAAATTCTCTACGTCATATTAAACACTGTTCTTTATTTCCCTGTCACATTTCGTTTCTCTTGTAACATCTTTGGTGTATACTCGATCGTAGCTTTTAACGTTTTGCGAAAAGATGGATTCAAGCATGGCACACAGCGGTAGTAACTGGACTGTAAAGCTTTTTGCGTAAACTAAGTATGCGAGTGTTTCTGCGAAGATTGATGTGATACTAATATCATAACTTCTGAACCTCTTAAAAATTAAATCGAAATTGATTAGATGTAGTGCACAGGAAGTGCTTATTACTAGCTCCCTCTCTTTTTTGCAGTTGTACCCAAAATTTCCTGTCATAATAAAGGATGTCCATGTTCTAAATTTTAATTTCGTGGAGTTACAGCCAATAAACATACCTGTGTATCTACTAACTTGAGCTGTGCAGAGAGATGTTTATTATGGTGCTGGTAGAAGTGATAAAAAAGTAGTAATCATCAGATTGAGTTGTCATTCTAATCTCCTTATCTGGGGTTTATGTACCTTATTCTGTCATCAAACCCCCCCCCCCCCCTTTTGACTCAAAAGTTTTAATGTTCAGTTGGAGTTTGTTTCTTTTTTCCATTCATTCAATCAAGTATTTATGTGTTTTTATTTTCTTCATCAATTATTTTCTGTGTTCTCTAGGCTGGAGGACTTCTTTACCAAATGACAACAGTGTTAAATAGTGTCAAGAAGTCATCCATTGGAAGGTGTATGTCATATATACAGACAAAAACACAGCATGATAACAACTCAAAAGTAAAAACAGAACCAAGTGTGGCAACTACCTCAGACACAGTAACATCTGACAGTGTAAGTTTAAAAAGTTAATTCTTAACCAGATATATGTACACCCACACAACCATTCCATCTTTTCAGAAGGTTAGGGGAAGTGTCTAGGGATGAAAGCCTAGGCCCAGGTTCTTTGAAACACAGTTAACCTAACCCTGCATCAGTGTAAATTTTTGATTCAGTTAAATAGCTTCACAAGGGGATTTTTCTTTTGAATTTTTTTTCTTGTTATTTTCAAGTCATATTGAGATAATTCCCCCAACAAATCCTCAGCTCTTACATTTATACCTGCTCTTCTACATGAGAAATTGAAGACAAGGTTAACTTTTAATCCTAGATTAACGTTAACCCCCTTTCAAACAACGCAGCCCAGTTACTCAAATCCTGATTGTATTTCGGACCTAATTATGGAGAATCCATATCTATTTTCACATAGCACAAACATTATTTATCTGATATTTTAAGTCTAATTATTTTCTTTTGATGGGGAAGTTTTGATTGGGCTAGTACAAATGAAGTTGTAAATGTCTCAAATTGACAATAAATTTCCAATTTCTGTTGTACAAAGTCTCAATGTGATTGCATCTGGGTCAGGAGTTTTCATCTTTTCTTCAATTTGTTTTTGCACTTATAGCTGTCATGTGTACTTTATTATATACCTTCTATATCAACTATGAGTACTAGTTGTCATAATTTTTTCTTTTCACTTTTAGGATCCTTACACCACATTTCTTGAAGAATTTGGTTTGTCATCTATTCCAGCTGAACTGTTATCTCAGCTGACCACAGCTTTGTCTATCTGTCAGTGTAACACAAACAGCACTGATAACTTGTGGAGAGTATCTCATGTCTCTTCAGATTCATTTTTCAAGAACAAACATGGTAAAGCTGAATTGTTTCATTTAGTGATACTGTAGATGTGATGGTAAAACTGTTAAAAGCAGTCAGCTAAAACTGAGAAACTGGGCTGTGAGTCTGAAAATTTTTTAATTTTTTTTTAACTAAACCTTTAAAATAGTTTTGGCAGAATTTCAATAATTTTGGAGCTAAACCTGCAACAGAAGTAGCCTATATCTTTAGTACCACACATGTTTTGCAAGCTGTAGGATGGGATAAATTCATGCCCTCTCTTTAGGTCATCAGATAGCAACTCTTGAAAAAAATTGACAAAGCTATTGCACAACTTGAGAATTTGTCTCACTTGGTTGTTGACTTACTGATTGCATCTTTTCTTGACAGGATTTTCAAGTATAACTGATTATTCAAGGCACAAGTCTTCCATCTTCATGACATCTTTTTCAAAAATACCATGGCTACACACATCATGTAAGTGTATCAACTGTGCATGATAATATGTTTGACCAAATGTAAGGTCCCTAGCTTGAGAACACTGCTGATAAAGTACTCACAGCATATAAAGTAGGGTTACCTGTGATATAAATTTCACTACAGTCCTGTTGTGGCAAAATTATGTTAAAAATGTGACTGCAAAGTTTTGATCTCCTTTACTGTAGTTCACACCCAAAACAGAGGAATACATTCGTATTCTTCACGGCGAATACAGCAGCTGGAGGAGAGAGCTAATGCAGAAGAACACAATCCCAGGGCTCAGTCAGAATATTTACGGGTCAGTTTATGTTGGCTTGTGTGCTCACATGGTACAAATCTATTTAAAGATAGTTGTTATGAATAAAATGGATTGTAAGACAAGCAGGAATGATTGTGTTATAACCATCTGTGTGTAACTTTCAGGCCTTGGTTCAGGAGGATCCAAATTATGTTGTGAGGAGATATGAGAGTGGAAAGTATGCCATAGACCAATCTGTGACAAATGAATACTTGAAGGTAAAGTTGCCTAAGTTTAATTTTTTTGTGCCTGGGTTTTTTGCAAAGTAAATACAATATATAAAGTTTAGTTAATAAAGATTACTAAATTGTTTTGAAATTGATGAGATTATCAGTCCTTGATAAATCCTTTCATAACTGATCAAATTATTTCACTTAGTAAGATGCAGCTGAATTAGCTTTGTTAAAAATAATGTTAAAATTTACAGGCACTGGTGATGACAGACAGAGTTAACCAAGTTGACATGAAAAAGGTATAAAACTAAATATTTATTTTTTGTGCATTTGAGTTTTGCAAAGGTTGTACCAATTCCAAGATATCTTTGTTTTGAGAAGCTGCAACTTCTGTCCTATATTCCAGTTAAATGCTTATATGTATGCATATGTGTATTTTTTACTGAAAGGAAAATATTTATAGCCTAAGGAAAAGAGATGTTAATTCACCTTATAGTAGGACTTTATTCTTCACTGGCCACTTGAGCTTTCCTGAATACTATTATACAATTACTGTTGAGGGAACCGACATGGGTTCTAGATGAGGGGGCTTTTCAGAGAATGGGCACTTTCAAAAAATTGGCCCAGCATAATTTTAGCCCAATGTCATTAAGCTCTTTCTTGTATCTTGGGTTTTTTAAGGGGGAAGGGAGGGTGGGTTCATGAAAAACTTTGGTCTCCTGATGAGGGTGGGGGGTTTATTGGATAGGGATTCTTATCCTTAAGACATTGATAATTGGCCCTTATACTTTGTTTTTTTGTGTGTGTGTCTGTGTTTAGATCTTTTCTTCAGGCAATGATTATGGTAGTACATCATCCCATGGGGCACCAACCTCTCCTTTAGTTCAAACTGGGACTGAGGACAGTCCAATACATGTCATTACTCAAAACCAGAAAGGTGAGCTCAGTATAGTTCTTTTTTTTCAAGAGGACACTTCTGGTTGATCCAGGAGGCTTTAACATATACTATACCTTCATAACACAGAAAATTTATTGTTTGAAAAATACTTCAGTGATAGATTTTACTCTGTTACTTTGCAGGTTCATTCTTCCGCGAACAATTTTGGAACACAGTCAGATTTTTGATTGCCCTTTTTCTGATCACCTCGCTGATTGAGGGGCAACTTCAAATGAAATGTAAGTGTGAGGTGTTATAGAACAGTCTAAAGTTACTGTTATCAAGTGAAGTAATTATTACTTTTTATTAATGCAATGATCCAAATTGTAACACCAATTTTCTCAAGGGTGATTGGCTATAAGCTTTCCAATTTGAACCTGGAACTGAAATCAAGGCACCCACCCAAATGTAGGCATTATATCCTGTGCATATGAATAGGTGTTATCAGCGTAGCTGTTCTGTGAAATATAACTTTTAGTGTGTTTTGATTTGATGATACAAAAACCTAAACAAGCACCTGTCCAGCTTCATTTGTAGTGTCTGAAATTTGTATTCCCTAGACTGTTGGACTTGCTTTCTCATTTATTTAAAAAAAAAAAAAATTTTTTTGTTTCCCCCAACCTCTGCTTGTTGTACAAATTTATTTTAATTGTAATATTTTAAATAGCTGGCAAGATTTCATCGAATTCAGTGCGTGTTCCTA